ACGCTGAGAACATGTACCGGTTCTATTCCCGAGATGAGGTTTCGAGGAGAATGATGCATCATTCCCTTGAGCAGCGTTGTCAGCGCATTAGGGAGATGGAGCGGTGCAATGCCGCGGGAAATGCGGCAATAGAAACGCCAGTGGTGACTGAATTCAAGTCATCGGTGTACCATGTGCATCCGGACTGTCACGGGAGGATTGAACAGATGCCGTTGACGCACAACCGTGGAATTTTGAGAGCGCGTGGACAATGTGGATCCGATGTTGGCGGTCCCCAACAGAAGTTTTGTGCCCGTCGCTACAAGGCCTTATTTCCACAGGGTTGGGAATTGCACCAGCCTCTGCGTGCGAGTGTGTGTTGACCTTTTTTGCTGCGTTATTAGGCCTTGGGGTGCTGTTGTTGTCTTCTTTGCCTTTCTGCTTGCGTCTGTGTGGATTGCCTGGCGAACACGCACCGCTGTTGAAGCGGAGGGGAATGAAAGCGGTATTTGGCCTGAGAAGGGTCCTGGTGCGTCTTTTTTGTGGCGAGCGGGACGGTGGTGAGCTTCGCGACGCGGAGGTGTTCGACGCCGTTGTTGACTTCGCAGTTGTTGCCGTTGTGCCGCTGTTGTATACATCTTTGCGAGCGTTGGCAGGGAGGCGCAGGGCATAGGTTGCGCGGACGGCCCAGTCGTTCTCAGATATTTCTGCGGACGCCAAGGCCGTTGTTGTTGAGGAGTCGACCTGCTCGCCGTTCCTCCCGACTTCATGGTCAGTTTTGTCTGCATGGATTATTATCGACGCAGAGCGAGCCGCAGATGTGGAATTCGCAAAATTATTTTCCACGGAAGTGGTGTGTGCGTACTTGGATGGGGTCTTCCGGGGTCTTATGCGAACACGCTGTAGGCGCCGCATGTTTCACGTGTGTGTTTTTATTGCGCGCACCGCAGTTGGAGCGGATGCTGTTGTTTGTCTGGCGAGCAATGAGGGTACTGGTTGCTGTGGTGTTTCTACCGTTGCCGTCGAAGTGGCGGTGGCTCTGTCGGCTCCCAGCCTGTTTCGCCTGCGTCATGGTGCGTTGCTGCGGAGGGAGCGCCGACTCCATGACGCCGCGTCTCGCTATCTAGGCCCGGGTGTTTACTTGGACAGCCGTTGGAGGTCCCCTGAATTGTCAGACCGCGTCTGGCGTGCGATGGCGCGAAAGGGTTTTGCCACAATTCGGTGTTGTCGTTGTGTGACGGGTGTGCGTCGACCAAATTGCTCTGGGCCAAGGAACGGGCCCGCCGAGTATTTTTTGCTTGGTGATCTGGTAAGAAGCAGGCGCCATGTGAGGTCCACACTATTCGGGGGAAATAAGTGCTGCGGGTACCAAAGGGAAACCGGAGCATGAACCCTCCTGCATGATGTCTTTGCTGCGTCCTCTGGCTGGCTTTGTAATGCGTACGGGCGAAACATTCATTGTGGTGTTTGCCGTGGCATCATCTGCCGGTGGCCCGCAGTATTCGGCGTTTTTTTACACTGAGACGACGCTGATTTTATTGGGCCTACTGTTTTTTCTCTTTTCTCTCCCGTTGGGCCGTGGATCTCTCACTGCGGCAACGCCATGAACGTTGTGCAGCCATGCTTTGAGCGGTTTTCTTATATAAAACCGCCCTCTTGGTGCGCACATGTCCCCTATATATGTATGTGCGTTTATGTGCATAAAAGGAGGGAGGCAAGGGGGGTGGGAGGAGGTAAAGGAAGAGAGAGGGATTCCCGACGCGCATGGATGCGCCTAACCCAACTTCTTGAGAATCCGAGGGGAGATGGGGACCGGACCTGAGCGTGCAGTGCGGAGTTGGATGCGTTTGCATTTGGCCGGGGAGGAGGCCGCGGGGGCGCCTAAATGAGGAGGGAGAGAATTGAAGGAATCTAAAAAGAGGTGTGGTGGCGTCGAAGGGTTTGCGGGGACTCTGGTGTTTGTGTTCCTGTGCGTGTTCCACATCATGCCCTTTTTTCTTCGACTCATCTCTCAACCAGGATGCAGCCACAGCAGTAGAGTTGCGCACATGGACTACGCTTTTCCAGAGAAATATTTTAAGGTAGCACGTTTTTTTGACCATGAATTTGGGGACATTGAGTCAACCGCACGGCTTGACGACAAGCAGAAGCTTCTTTTCTACGCTCTGCGGCAGCAGGCCGAGCATGGTCCATGCACGGGCGCGGCGCCGTCTATGTGGTGGACGCGTGAGCGTATTAAGTACGATGCATGGAAGCAACTGGGCGACATGTCTAGATTTGAGGCGATGGTAAATTTTGTGAGGTTACTTGGGGAGTGTTTGGGGGGTGACGTCAACTGGGTGGAGAAGTGCAAAGCTCTGGAGAACAACATTATCCATGCAGGTGACAGCGAATCCTTTACGGTACCGGACGGAGGTGGCAGCACACATGCCCCAGGAGAGGAGGACACGTGGGACGATGATGTGCGTGACCACCTGGAGCCCACCGTGGAGAATGTAAGATATTTGGCATCGCAGGTCATGCGGTTGCGACGTGAGGCACACCAACTGCGATTGTCGGCGGCTGAAAAACAAACGAGGGAATGTGTTGCTGCGCGTCTGGCGCCACCACCCATCAAAGCACCAGCGGGCAACGCGGGCTCTCCTCAGAAAGCAGTGCCGGTGCCGCCAGGGAGACCCGTCGCAAGGAGGGGTGGTAGCCTGCCGCCGTCGCCACCGTTCTCCTGTCCGCCAACGAAATTGACGGAGGTGGCGTTGGGAAGCCCTCGGCCGCCTTCCCCAACTCCCGGAAGGCGCGGAATGGGCTGGGCGGAATGGCTTGGACTTATTTAGCAAGCAAGAAGGGGAGGGGAGGAGAATGAAACGCCCCTTTGTGGAATGCATGACTGCGATCGAGACGTCGCTGTTTTTTTTTTTTTTTTTTTTTTGAATTAATTGACGCTGCCCTGCTCCTTGTGCTCCCGTTTGGGCAAATGTGTCTTTGGCCCGGACCGAGCGTGCCTTGAATGGTGCCCATGGGCTTTTTGGATGCGCTCTTTTATGTTGTTCCCTCTCTTGTGTACCCCTCTCCCACGACTATTTTCCCCTCAACCTCATTTGCGTTTCTTTTTATTCTCACGTCCAGTTGTGTTCGTACCGTGGCCCGATGGCGGGTGCACTGCAATTTCACGCCAACGTCAAAGTCCACAAGGAACCACGAAAATATGAAGCACGTGGTTGGCGTCTTTGCGGAGGGTGTGGCTTCAGGGCCTTCTGACCCGACGAGTGTGGGGCGCGTTGGTTGTGGGAAAGCGGTGGTTCCGTTCCCATGTTTTGCCGAAACAATTTTGCTTCATGCGCCTTCCTTGTTTGGGCGGCGCAAAGCCCGCACGATGCTGATTGGAGGCGACGGAATGCGTCCCGCCGGCGGGGGTGGGGCCCCAACATCTCTCGGGGGATGGGTTTAACGCAGAAGAATGAAATTTGACGGCCGACGAGATGAAGAAGTCTGCGCTTCACGCAATAGAAAAGGTTCCGTGGGGGCCCGAATGCACCACGTAGAGATGTTTTTCTTTTCTCTCCCAGTTTGCCCACACAATTGGCATGAACCCTTTTCCCGTGTCCGCTAATACAATTACTAAATAAGTGACAGGCCGCATGCATTATAAAATTTCGACGCAGAAGCCAAAGAGACAGTGATACCAGGGCGACTCGCCCACTCACGACCTCCTCGGGATCGCCGAACCACACCGACAGCACGCAGCTCACGAAACGCGCAACATTGTTGTTGAGCACGGTGTTATTCTATTTTTACGTTTGCGTGGGGTTTCCTATTGAACGCCGCTCTTTTGGTAAAAAGAAATATGCGACCGTCTGTCGCCACCAATTTCGGTGCAAAAAGACGGACACGATGCATGAATACCCATTTTGTGTGTGTGGCCGCAGGTCTCCATTTGCACTTTTATATCGGTGAATTTGTTGCTGTTTTACTGCTGGTGTGAATGGGCCTCTCCGTCCACTGTTTCCACGGCGTCTGAGGACGGGGCGGCAAAACTTGCTGCGGAGCTCATGAAGGCGACATTTCTCCGCCATTGGTCTCTTCCTGTCATGCTTTTGCTCACTGGCCCTCGCGCAAAGGAAGGACGGACGTGTTTCTTTATTACGAGGCCGATGCCGCAAAATGGGGACAGAAAGGCGCCCGAATTTGTCGTTTTTTTTTTTTAACTTGTGAAAGGGATGTTCGCGGGGGAGCTGGTCACCCAAATGAATATGTCCTGACGAAACGGAGATGTTTCTGCACGATTCTTTTCTATCTTATGAATTTTTGGAGGACGGTGATTGAAGGAACCAGGGAGCCGATAGCGACAGGACGGATTTTTCTTTACTTTTTATTTCTTACTTTCCCACCACCCCCTTTTTGATTCCCACCTCGCGGCGAGGCCTTGTGGCTGGCGGAGCCCAAGGTCTGCCACTTGGTAAGCGATAGTGTTTCCAATCCTAACAAGGTGCACCGTGTCGCGAGAGTGGCTATCGGAACAATATTTACTTGGAGCAAACATCGAGGGAGTGGCGAACCCACTGCCTCTCCACTGCCCCCCTTTTCCCTTCTTGTTTGATTTCTTTTGATGATTTCAGGATCCGGCCAGCAGCCCAGGCGAATATATTTTTTTTTCATCGGGTTGGGTTTGTTTGTTGTGGGCATGTTATTTATTATTATTATTTTTTATTTTTGGATGTATTTTTATGACTTTTTTTGTTACACAATTCTTTCCTTACGACGTTGTGGGGGAAAAAAGGGGGAGTTTGGGGGGGGGGGGGTGGCAGGGCATTGGCGTATGTGTACGGTGAAACCTTCTCTCTCTTTTTTTCTCCGGACATGGTGGGGGAGACATGAAGAAATGAAGGTTTATTTTATTTTATTTTATTTTTTATTTTTTTGTCCTGTTGCAATGTACTCTCTGTTTTTTTTTATTTTTTTCATTTTTTTAAAATTAAATTAAATTAAATTAAATTTAGTTTATTTATTTATTTTTGTGTAATCAAATGGGAAATACTCTCCCGGCATGTTCGAATGGTATGAGGAGGTTCCTCTCATACTTGGGATCGTTTTGTTGCTCATCCAAACACCCTACGCGTGTTGTCGTTGGTGGGGTCGAGTATAACGTTGAGCGGTTACTGGGGGAGGGGGGCAGTGCCTACGTGTACAAGGGCCGGGATACACGCTCCGGAAACTTCATTGCCCTTAAGCGGTTTACATTAAAGGATCATCAATACAAGACACAGTGTATGGAGGAGGTGGCATTACATCGCTCATTATGTCCACACTCTTCCATTATTACATTTTATGACTCGGATATAGTGAAACGGCCAGGGCCTATTCTCCCAGAGCTTTGGATTGTCATGGAGCTTTCCGAAGCTCCTACGCTGGCAAATTATATCAACATACGCATGGCGGTGAAGCAGTCTTTTACGATTCGTGAGGTGTACGAGATCAGTCATGTTGTCGTGGGTGTCATTGCCCACATGCACAGCCAGTCGCCTCCGGTTTCTCACTGGGATATTAAAGCAGAGAATTTTCTCTTTGAGGACTCGCAAAATCTGAAACTGTGCGACTTTGGAAGTGCCTCACGTTTATATTATGAACCACAGAATGCGCTTCATGTCTCCATAGCCGAGGCGGAGTTGGGTGAACGCATGACGCTGCTTTACCGCCCGCCCGAGTCGCTGGATCTTTGGTCACGGCAGCGGGTAGACACGAAGTGTGATATATGGAGCCTGGGGGTTTTGATTTATTTACTGATTTTCTTTGAGATGCCATTTGAGGCCAATGTCATGGAAATTATGGACGGCATCCCACGAAGATTTCGAGAGGGCAACTTGGAGGAGGTCCCCCGTGAGGAATTCAAGCCCGTGGTAGAAATTGTGAGAACAATGATGTTAGTGAAGGATCCAGTGAAGCGTGCGGACATTTTTGATGTCTCACAACGTCTCAGTGCGCTCTCCCACATCCCTCCCATCCCTCGTCCCAGGCCTGGGTACCAGCGTCCCCAGGATTCACGGTTTTAAGTAGAGAACGGTGCAAGACGACCTTCCGTACCTTTCTTTCTTTCTTTCTTTTTCTTTTTCTTACTTTTTTTCTGCGTGTGCGTTTTTTTTTTTTTTTTTTTGGAGGGCTTGCATTTGACCTTCTTGTGGTAGCAATATAAATATAAATATAAATATATATTTGTTTGTGTGTGTGTGTGTTGATGCTTGTATAAACATGTGGTGCATTTTGAATTGGAAAGAGGGGGAAAAAAGAGAGGCCGAAAAAAAGGGGAGAGCCTTTCCACATGTGTTATATAAATATAAATATAAATATAAATATATTTATTTAAGCCTGAGTTGTGTTATTATTATTATTTTTTTTTTCTTCTTCTTTGCTTTTTATACGGGAATAAGGGCGGGTTTGGATACCATCGCACGGTGGAGAAGGCAATATTTTGTATACATGTACACAACCTGCACATGAGTCTGTAGGTAGGAAGCAAATGCTGCTGCTGCCGCTGCTGTTGAGGCTGCTGCTGGGGGCAGGCAGGCAGGGAGGCAGGGAGGCAGGGAGGCAGGCAGGCAGGGAAAGAGAGGGATGACAGGCCGTCGCTGATGTCTCTTGTGCACACAGCCATAATGGCCTTGCTTCATTGAAAGACAAGGCGGTTAAAAATTCTCATGGAGGAGGAGGGCCATCTTTTTAACTTCGTCCTCGGTTCTCCAGTGAAGAACATGAAGATCTTCGGACTTCTTGACGTTCTCATTGGCTGGCTTCCTAAGGCCTGAGGCATGTGGACACGGAAAGTGGAGATGACATGACTTTTATTATTTAGTTATTTTATCTCATCTTTATTTTTTAATTGTGTATGCAATGTTGATCCCGCCTCCTCCTCTCCCTCAAAAACACACACACACACACACACACAAAAGCACATGCATACATGCACGAAATCCTTTGTGCCGTGGCTGTTTTCTCACTAATCAACTTCTTCTGCACGTTCTCTCCCTCTCCCTCTCTCCCTTTCACTTTCACTTTATGTATCTAATTTTTAGTCCAGTCATTCAAGTGGAAGGCAAGAAGATCTGAACAATAGATTTATAATAGTGTGATTTAGACATTTTATTATTATTATTACTTTTCTTTCTTTCTTTCTTTCTTTTTTTTTTTTTTTTCATTGTCATTTTTCCCTTTTCTAATGCATGTGGAGTTTCGTATTTCGTGCATTGAGAGGATATGCGCCTTTGATGCGGAGAGTTTTATTCGAATGCATCAACTGAGGGATCGTTCCCTACTGGAGTTGGAGCCAAAGCGGGCGCTTGTCACACTGCCTGAAGGGGACAGGCGTGCGAGGAGGTCGTTTCAGCCACATTTGAAGATCCAACTGGTCTTTGAGAATCTTGTCTGCATTGAGAGCTCCGTCTTTTGCGGCGAGGCGGAGCGGCAACAGCATGAAAAGCAGGTGACAACAAACTGGGATGCCAGCGAGATACGCACAAAGCGATACTGCAGTTATACGGGAGAAGTCATTGTTGCCTCCCTCCCTATTTCTGTGGCGAAGCGACATTTAAAAATACGTCTTGTGCAACTTGTACCAGAGCTTAGTAGAGAAGAATACGCGCTCCTCAAGGCCTCCTACCCTTCCTTTTTTAACATGCAGGATAACAGCCTTTGTATTGGGGTGGCAAAGATTGGTATGAGGGAACTTCTTATCACAAACGGGGGCGTCAGCGTGAAACTGCAGCCCAAGCAAGGGATGATGTCAGCTGTGGAGGCCCGGAATCTTAACACCATTGCCACCAACGGTATGTTTGGGAGGGATGTTGGCGGAAGTGCCGTGTTGACACTTCAGACTGCCAGTGTCATTTTTGGTGAAAAGTCGCTACTGCCGTGGTTTACTTTTTCCCGCCGGAGTACGGGCGCCACGCCCGCATGCCCCTTCTCCACCGTCGCTCAGGGCGTGGATGGCACAGTCGATGTACACGGCAGTGCAGAGGCAAACGGGAGTGAGGAGAGAATTGCAGAACTGCGACAACAAATGAGTTCCCCGGTGGCTCACTTTTTGCTTGTGCCGTACATGGTGTTTATTCATACCGTGCTTTGTCTGAGCGATGCCGTATCGTGGCGGCATACCACAAGGACGGCTCTGCTTTTTTGCATTGTCATGTTTGTTTTTCTCACGGATGTGTTGGAGATGGGTCTCATGCTTGGTTTTCTTGTGGAGGTAATTTCTATAACACGGATGGCTGTTTTGTTTTATCGCATGCCTTCTCGAATGGATCGCAGCGTGGACTCGGCCATTTCTTTGGCGAAGCGGGGGGATGACTTTCAGGCGGTGCTGTACGGGTGCCAGAATCACGTCATCAACGGCATGGTGCGTGCGCGACTTTTCTTTTCACAAGGCCTTTTGGCGGACTGCTACTTTGAGCTTGCCTTTTTGTTTTCACGCATGCTTCGGGCCAAACGGTGGCTATTGCCGTGTGTTATGTCAACAATCACCGCCTCACTTGTTTTCTCCACGGAGACGTTGTTGTTTCTTCTCCTCCTGGCGGCATTTCTCATCCACCCGCTGACGCTGCGTGTCCCTCCGTCACACCTGCGTAAACTGTGGCGGCGTCAAATGTCGTTGAGTGTTTTTTGGCAGGTACTGACATTGTGTCGTCCCATGCGCGTGTCGCGGGTGGTGCTTGTCACGGAGGAGAGAGAGAGGAAGAGGCTACGAACGGGCTCGCTCTCCACCACGCCGTTTATCTCCCCCAGCCCAATGCGTAGCCTCATCACATTCCCTGCACCCGCCGTATCGCAACAAACGGCACTGGAGGAGAATCGGCATCGTCGCACAGCATCGGTGAACGCATCAGCGGAAAGGGAAAGCGGACAGTCCAGGCAGGCAGGCGACCACGGTTCCTTGTCGCGCATGAATCCCCAAGCAGCAAGGTTTCTAGGCAATTCCGCCGCGGTAGATAAATCTTCGTTAGGCACGGCCATGAATAGTAACAATCATCTGGCGGCGCACTTGTCTTCCTCTAAAGTCTTTTCACGGTCTGTCGGTGACACGCTGAGACTTGACGCACAAACAAAGTCGCTGCTGAACTTTGCCCTCATTGTCATCACGACGGAAGGAGCCCCCGTAAACGGCAATAAAATGGCCATCTCCAGCAGCGGCGGAAATGGTTTGATTGTTCAGAAATTTCGGCGCATTCTGCAGCGGGCGAGGGCGCTTGAACGCCCCCCACCACCCGAATCGCAGCGGGAACAATATCAGGCATATTTCAATTGTGTCATACCCTTCTTGCAGTTCTTGCGACGCCAATGCACATTGAAGGTGTACGTGACACCATCTTCTTCGTTAAGTTCCCTCCCCACGTTGGACACGGGGAAAATGTTGAGGCTGGATCATTTGGCAAATCTTTCCCACCTGGTGGACGAGGGAGAGGATGATGGGATCACGTCCACGCTGCTGGCTCATTCTTCTCAACAGGTGCTTGTGGGGCAGCTGCCACCTCTCGAGCATATTGATACCAGCGCACGAGCCTTTGCTGTGCTGGCGGCATATTTACTCCAAGGCTCTCGTCTTTCCATCTACAGTAGACCGGGCAACAAAGGCTGTGGCACCATCATTCCTCTTAAAATGGGATCGAATGATATTGAATTGGCTCCGGAGCCAAATCCCTGTCCTCCATCTCTTCAGAAAGCATTGATAGACATCTGGAAGGGGTGGACAGATGAAGATGTCTCTATTTTTATCAATACAGATGTAGTTATGAATATTATTTCTACACAAAAGGAATTTCTGGGGGGCGATGGCAGTGATGGATTGTGTTCAAACGAGGACTATCAAAACATAATCATGGCATCCCAGGACGGTTGCAAGACGGCACGAGAGACGTCGAAGCGGCTTTTTTCAACCTTTAGTGCAATTTCGTTGGGGTCTAAGCGGCAACGCGCTTTAAACGCTTCCTTTCAAAATCCTGAGGGCTCATTTGTGTTCTCGACGTTGGGTGGGAAAGGAACTTCAAAGGAGGGCGTAAGCCCTGTTGATGGGGAAAAGTCACACAAAACCACTTCTGTTTTACCCGCAGGAAATCGCACATTTCACCAAGCGACGCGGTCGTGGGCCTACAGTCCACCCACCTTCGATATTATGATTCCGCGTCAATTGTCGGTGCCGCGCAATGGCCTGGAGAATACTTATACTTGGGAGGAGGGGCTGGGAAGATCATCCAATGAAGGCACAAGGGCGGGGACTGAGGACGTGTCACCCGTGGCAGCTATGTCAGGCACATCCCGGGCAAAATAACCAGCACTGTACTGATTACACCTGTATGTATTTTCTTGTTATTTGTATTGCTAGCGGTGTGGCTGTAATGCATATTGCTATTGATTTGTTGTTATTGAATGTCTCTTATTATTTGTCTTTTATTTTTCCCTGTGGTGTCTCTTTCTCTTTTTTTTTTTGATTTTTATTTATTGTTGCCGATCCGTCATGCCCCGTTTCTCCTTGGCTGACTGACGGAATGTATTCTGTCTGAAAATGTGTTTTTACTATTGGCTCTTTTTGATTTTTCTCCTTTTTTTTTTTTGTGTGTGTGTGTGTGAGTGCCAAGAAATTACAATTGGGGCATTTGGAATTTTTTTTTTTCTTTGAAGTACGCGTTATCCAAATCGGAATATAAGGCACAGTACTGTCGTCTTCATTGCCTAGGCTAAAACTCTTGCCAGCACTACCGGTGCAATGCCTTTTGGGCAGTGCCACTGTGGCTTTGATGTTATCTTTTTCCTTCGGGACGAAAAGTCACGAAGGCACCGCCGTTTGATGTGAGAAGGCATAAGGAAGGGGCATTGAAATGACATGCACCCCGAGGGCATGTCTAAAGGAGAGGGCCTCTTTTTTTTTTTTTTTTGCTGCGGCTTGCCAATGGCACGAGGTTTGGATGATGGGACTGTCGGAAAAAGGGATGGGAGCCCTAAAATTCCGCTTTGATGCGATTTCACCCAGACTGCAGCTGCGCCGGCAACAAAGGGCTTGATAAAGGACGAAATGCACTGAAGTCGCTGAAGAAATAATAATAATAAAAAAAAAGCACCCGAAGATTTCAATACGCGGAATTATGGTCTTCTCACCGCGGTGGTGTTTTGTCGATTTGAGGGCGATGGGCGGCCCGGAGATTTCGTGGCACGTGGGTGCAAAAGACGGCAGCGTCTGTGGCCCCGATGGGCGTCAGGGAGACGTCTCCGGAATGCGGGATCACGTACGGGATGTTTTTTTTTTTTTTTGTCTTGGCTTCCATGATGAAGAGGCCGCTGCTGCTTTGGTCATGGCACCAACAGACACACACACACACATGTGTGCGTGTGTGGTGCGTGTCAGTTTGGAGAACACCGGGCTGCGTGGGTCCGTGGACGCATGACACGTGTGGGATTTTGAACATCTCCTTCTTTCACGGAGCCTTTTTTTTTTTTTTTTTTCTTTTTGGCCACGAGTGGCTATTAAACCACAGAAGTGTGAAGAAAACACCGTTTATGACTAAAAAAAAAAAAAAAAAAGAAAACTCATCAGAAGTTCCTTAACGTTGGAACCGACAGTCTCAAGTCACTCCCAGCAGAGGAAATTAAAAATAATAAATAATAATAAATACCGGCAATGATATATGTGTGTTGTTCATGTGTATTATTAAATCATTGACCATGTCTTTTCCTCCTCCTCCTCCTCCTCCTCCTTTCCTTTCCTTTAGAGGAGTTAAGCGACGTGAATGAATGAATGTGCCATCTTTCTTTATTTCATTTTCTTCTTCTTTTGTAACAGATTGAAGCAAGCAAGAAAAGGAAGAATTAGTGTAAAATCATTTTATTTTATTTTTGGTGTTATTGTTATTATTACCATCTTTTTTTTCTTTTTCTTCTTTTATTGTTGACGACTTCCGCTCGGAGTAGAGACGAGTAACGAGAGCGAGGCGCGTATCCTGGAGCCCCTGCACGGTGTGGCACTGCTTGGCTTCTTTCACACACTTCTTATCCTTCTCCCCCATAACCGGGGGGCTAAACGGGAGAGTTTGAGCCGAAAGGAAACCGTCACGGTCAATGAGTGGATCGGAGAATCGCTGCCGCTTCCAAAAGGAGGTGGACAAATTTTTTGATACGCTTCGAGAACGAACGCTGCGGGACCACCCGCAAGAATTATGTGAATATTTAATGGAGAACGCCAAAAAGGTTGCAGCGGAATTGAGGGGGGAAGTGTGCGAACGCATCCCCGATGCCGTCTCACCGGAATTGCGAAGTCGGGCCCTCACCATCGTGGTACTCGGTGCAAGCGGGGACTTGGCCAAAAAGAAGACCTTTCCGGCGCTTTTTCAGTTATACTGCAACGGCATGCTACCTCGGGATGTCAACATTCTCGGGTATGCCCGCTCCACAATGGAGGATGTGGAAAAGTGGAAAAAGGACACTCTTGCCGGATTCTTTACTCGTCTGGATGAGCGCGGATGTCATGTGGGTAACTTTTTGAGACGGATCAGTTACATGACCGGGTCGTATGATCGCGACGAGGACTTTGCACGCCTGAACGAGAGGATTCTTCGGATGGAAGAGGCCTTCCAGGGGCCGGAAAAAGGGGGAAATCGACTTTTTTACCTTGCGCTGCCACCTTCCGTTTTTGTGGGCGTTTGCCGGGGTCTCAGCAAAGGGGCGATGCAAAAGCCAGAATTGGGTTGGGTCCGTCTCATTGTTGAGAAGCCCTTTGGCCGGGACACGGAGACCTCCGAGCAGCTCTCAAATCAGCTGAAGCCTCTCTTCAATGAACGCCAGGTATTCCGCATTGACCACTACTTGGGGAAGGAAATGGTGCAGAATATTATTGTCACCCGTTTTGCTAACCGCGTTTTTAGCGCGCTGTGGAACAGTAACAGCATTGCATGCGTCCAAATTACATTCAAGGAGAAAATCGGCACGGCGGGACGTGGTGGGTACTTTGACAGTATTGGAATCATCCGTGACGTGATCCAGAACCACCTCACACAGATTCTTTCTTTATTGACGATGGAAAAGCCGCGTTCACTCAGTGCTGAGGACATCCGTGATGAAAAGGTCCAAGTTCTCAGACAAGTGGTCCCTGCGAACCCAGCAGAGTGTGTGCTGGGTCAGTACACGGCCTCCGCAGATGGTTCTACACCTGGCTACCTTGACGACCCCTCTGTACCGAAGGGCAGCCATTGCCCCACCTTTGCTGTGCTTCGACTGCACGTGAACAATGACAGGTGGCACGGTGTCCCTTTTATCATCCGGGCCGGAAAGGCACTCGAAGAGCGTCTGCTTGATATCCGTATTCAGTTCAAGGACGAAATACGTCCCTTCGGTGAAAGCACGCAGCGCAATGAACTTGTGATCCGCGCCCAGCCGTCGGAGGCGATGTATCTGAAACTCACTGCAAAGACACCGGGGCTGCTGAACGATACCCATCAGACGGAACTTGACCTCACGTACGAGCGGCGCTACGACGTTACACTTCCGGATGCGTATGAGAGTCTTATTCACGAAGCTCTTCTCGGGAACTCGACCAACTTTGTTCGTGTAGACGAGTTGGACGCTGCATGGCGGATTTACACACCGCTTCTCCACGCCATTGATCGCGGGGAGGTGAAGGTACTGCCCTACGCGGCGGGTTCGTGCGGGCCAGAGGAAGCCCAGGAGTTTATTCGAATTTCCGGATATAAGACAACAAATGGCAACGCATATAAGTGCTCAAACGCGTAAAAGGATTTTTTCTTCTTTTATTTTCTTCTGAACATCGAACAACGTTTTACACCTTCAAAGAATGAAGGTGGGAAAAAGGAGAGAGGGAGAGGGAGAGAGAGGATGCATGCACGTAAATCCTGAAAAGCAGAAAATTGACACATGCCTGTGTCTTTGTGCGTAGTTTGCTCTTTCTCCTTTTTCATCTTTTTGTTGTTGTTAGATGTCCTTTTCTGGCCCTTTTTTTGTTTTCTTCTTTTCTTTTCCATTTCCCGTGTAATTGATGCAACTTGACGGCGTTGGAACTTGGCGCCGCCTCCAGAAATTGTTTTGGAATCGAGGAGGGTCATGCAGAAGGCATTCATTTGAAGCGTGGACGGCCGATATAACACTTTACTTTTTTTTTTTTTTAAATATATTGAAGGGGAGGCGAGTCAGTTCTTTTTTTTTTTTTACCACTTTTTTTTTTTCTCTTATATTATTACCAAACAGAGTGGATGTTGACTTATATGCGTTTAGTTGATTGTCTCGTTGACCCATTTCTCCTTTTTTTTTTTTTTCTTTTTGCTGGTGGAACCCGGCGGTAGTAGAAGAACGCGTTTGATATATATATATATATATATGTGACTGTGACTGTGTGTGTGTGTGTGTGGGTGTGGGAAAGGGCAATGAAAAGGAGGAGGGGTGAATGTGGGAAGGCCGCTTTGAGTTATGGCTTTTCTGTTTGTTTTTTCTGTTGTTGTTGTTGTTGTTTTTTTTTTTTTGGTAAAATTTTTATTTTTATTTTTATTTTTTAATTATTTTTAGTGCACGCGTATGTGTGTGTGTGTGTGTGTGTTTATTTGTATTTCTGTGTGTCCGTGTTCATCCGTGTTGTGTTGCCGTTTCCACTCCGTTCTTTCCCTTTGTAACTACATACATGTACATGTCTTTGTGCGATTAGTGTGTCTGGTGCATTAAGGGGGGTGGAGGAGGAGGAGGAGGAGGTGGTGGTGGTGGTGGTGGTGGGGAAGTAAACAAGAAGATGTTAAGGAATGACAGTGAGGAGATGCAAGAGGGCCAGCAGGGCGGCGGCGGAAATGTCGTGCTCATGCCCTTCTCACGGGACGATGATGACACTGGGATGGTAATGGAAGCGATTGGGGAGGAATTTGTAAACGCACCCGTGTCCACTAGCAGCTCTACGGTGGGACCCAGAGAGGAGAGTGCTTCAAGTCGCTTCTTTTTGGTGTATCTTAGGCGGTTGCGTGGGGCGGGAGAAAAAGGACCACCGTTTTTTGCTCCGTCAGTCGACCTCATCCCGACCTTTTTGTTCACTACAGTCATCATGCTGACGCTGGGAGTTGCCGACGTGTATGGATTCGAGCCGCACGGCTTGCAGGCGTACTTGCCGGCGTTTGCGGCGTCGTGCGCTCTGACGGCTTGTTTTACAACTGCACCCGGGGCGCAGCCGCAGGCACTGTTAGGCTCACATCTTCTTGCCGCGCTGATTGGCCTTTCTTTTGCTCATGCAACGCACTCTCTTGAGCAGCCCCTTGGGCATTTACTGGCTAGCGTGTTTGCCGTGGCTTTTCTTGCCCCTGTTTGCCATATTTTTGGTTGGTTTCAACCGTCCAGTGCGGCAACGGCAGTGAGTGCAGCCTTTTACGAAAATGGACAGAAGGATGGGGGTTACATTTTTGTTATATTCCCTGTGTTGATTGGCGTGTCTATTATATTTGTCCTCTCATGGCTTTTGAACAACCTTATTCCATGGCGACCAGCGTATCCCGTTTGGTTGTGAATTCCATATATTTATATATTGCAGCGATTTTGTGTGTTTGTGCGCACTCAGCGACTTGTTTCTTTGTGGGTTTTTTGTTGATTGTATGGGACCGAAGATGTTTTTTTTTTGTTTCTGTGGCTGTGCGGAGGAAATAGAGGACACAACTCCCCGAGGGGAAAGGAACAGAGGGGGTGGGGAGTGTTCGTGTGATGGCAATACGTGAGGGAGCATGTGAGGGTTAAGTTTTTATTCAAAGAGTATTTTAATAGCTCTCTCCCACAATCGGCTTTTTTTTTTGGGTAGCAGAAACAAATTTTTTTCTTTTGTCTCCCTCTCTCTCTCTCTGTGTGTGTGTGTGTGCATTCTCTACCCGTGTGCGAGCTTTTTTTCTTTTGCACCTTTGATTCTACGTGCTGGTCCTATTTGGAAGCATCTGCTGGTGTCTGCGTGCGCACAGCGCTCCCCTGTGTTTGGCCGCCCTGCCTCTGCATCCCGTTCCCGCTGCGTATGTTGCGTCGTTCATCTCGGGCCGGGGGCAGTTGCGACGGTGAAAACTTTGATATTTCATTGATTCTCGGCAGCGACGGATTGTCGAGCCGCCGCGTCGGCCCGGGGCGGATGCGTGGCGGGTGTGTGTTTCACTTTTTTTGCCGCAGCGTCCTCTGCGGGTGCCGGGGGTCTCTGATTTTAAAGGACTCCACTCGGCGGTGGGGGCGGATGTGCGGGCCATTGGATTTATTTGGTGGAAAGCGAAGGAAAGAGGGTTGAAACGGATGTGACATGTGAGTAGCCGCGTCCCGCACACTTTCCCCAGCACTGTTACTTTTTTTTTGTTATTTTGAGGAGTTTTTGAGGGGGGAGGGAGCGATTGCGATGCGCGTGTTGTATTTTAGAGCAAAGGTCAGCGGGATGGATGTGTGGCCAGACGGGGCCGAGTGGCAGACGACGCTTTTTTCGGCCCACTCCGCTTTTAAAAGAATTTGTTTTTGCCTTCAAAAGAAAAGAAAAACGTGTTGGGAGGCGGCTGGTGCAGGTGCATTTTTAGATTTGTTTTGCCGTCGCCCCACTCCGACCCTGCCGCCCGCCACGCGGAGAGGGCTCCGGCGGTTGCGGGGCCGCAAAGGCTGCCACCCCGCGACCTCGCAGCGAACCAACTGGTGCCTCATAAAATGCTTGTCTCTTTTCTCTTTTCTTGAAGCTTGCACTCGTGTGTTTAGCGTGTGTGTGTGTGTGCAATGCGTGCTTGATGCGTCTCCTCCGAGGTGTGGGGGCTGCTGGGTGTGTGCCGAGCCAGACCGCCACTTCTCTTTTGCGTAGTATCTCCTTGTGGGGCTGGGGAACGAGGCCGCAGCCGGGGGCGCGCAGCTGGGGAGTTGCCGCGTCGTTCTCCCACGGACCGGGAGGGTGCAGAGAGCTGCGGCTACGCGACCGCCCTTGACAACGAGTACGAACGATGTGGCTGGACGTTGCCGCCTGGCGTGGTGCCGCCGGGAGTGCAGGCGATTTCGTGTAACGCGGTAGGAGCGGATTTGTTTGCGCCTGTATAGTTGCGTTTTGGGATGCTCCCGATGCTGCGACCAGAAGATGCGCTGGCCATTATGCACTTGGACGATGCCGGCCTAGCAGGGATGCCAATTCGTTGCGGTGAGGCTAATTTACGTGCATGGCTCTTGGTCCACGCAGCTGACATGAACTTCTTTGCTTTGTTTGTGTGTCTGCAGCCGTGATGATGGTGATGATGTTGGCTGGCCGTGTGCTGCTGTTCTGTTACCTCTGCGTGCTGTGGTGCTGTGCCAGCGGTGACATTTGCTTTTAGCGGTGGAGGAATGGCAGTCCGTGATGTGACTTTCGGCGCTGATGTGGCCACGTGACGCATGGGAGCCGCGGCTTCGGGTGGCTATCTCTGGCGTGCTGCGAGTCGACGGTGCGTTGCGAGGAGGGAGGAAAGTAGCCTGCGCTCCGTCCCCTTGAAGTGTTGCGGGCGTGCGGGTGGCGGCCTGCAGCCGGTAGGTGGTGTGTTGTTGAGGGTGCCTGGGATGAGTGCGGATTCCTTCCCGCCCTGCAGCCTCGCGTGCCGACGCGTCTTTCCCGCTGTGGATTTGTTGTTGGGGATTTCACGGCTGTGCGGTGCGATGTGCGCCGGCGGCAGCGCATGGGTGGTGCGAAGGGCGGCTGTGTCCTTTTGCGTCCTGCCGGTTGTTTCGTGTGTGGGCGCTCCTTGGTGTGTGTTGACGCGTGGGGGAAGCACCCGCCGTGGATCCTGCTGGTGGTGGCAGTCGCTGTGTGTTCCCGGTGCACTGTTCTTCCTTCTCCTGTTCCGTGTGTCTGTGCGCGTGAGTTTTTGTTGTTGGGAGTGGCTGCGGCGGGGATGATGATGCCACTCACTGTGGATGGGTGGCTGTGCTCACTGTCTTGTCTCTTTGCTTGGCATGCTTCCTTCTCTCTCTACTTTTTCACACACATAGAGGGAAAACAAGCGCGAATCGCTACTGTGAAATTCGAAGGCTCTGAAAGGACCAACAGCACACACACCGCCCACACACACATATTTGTATGCTCTCACGTGTTGCTGCAGTGAAGGCGCACCGCACACACAACCGTCGCCGCGTGACCGGATCCAGCGGAGGGAGGAGGGAAGGAAGAGAGAGTGAGCCGCAGAGGCCCAGCATGTCGCGGCATCTCTTCTACTCTGCGGTGCCGCTCCTCCTCCTCTTTGTTGTGATGATGTGCTGCTGCGGCTGTGAAGCTGCGTCCGCTGATGGAAGTAGTGGGGAAGGGAAAGCCGTTGATCCTTTTCACGGAACGAAACCGGCGCCCTATGAATGGCACGAAATGACTGGATCCGAGGCGGCAGCCGACTCGCTTCGTGTTCCCAGCCTTGCCGAGGTGGCCGGCGGTGTGTTTGCCGTTGCTGAAGCTCAGTGCAGTGAAAGGGATGGAGCCTGCGGCCATGCTGCGATTGCAACAACGCACATTGAGACGGACGGTGGTGGCTCAAAGGCGATCTCGGCGATGGATGCAGGCGTGTCTCTCGTAGAACTTGTGGATGCCGCCAGTGGTACGATCAGGACACGAGAAAGGATGCAGCCAACGACAATTGTGAGCGGCGACAGTGTCTACATGGCCCTTGGGGACTACGAGAAGAAGACGTCTGGGGACGAGGCTGCCGATGCAGATGGCTGGAGGCTTTTACTGACGCGGGGAACTCTCACTGAGGATGGTGGGCAGAAGAAAATCATGTGGGGTGATATCCGTGCGGTGGACCCTGTGGCCATCGGGCTTACTCAATTCCTGAAGAGGGTGATCGGTGGCGGAGGATCGGGTGTTGTGACGAAGAACGGTTACCTTGTGCTTCCCATGCAGGCAGTAGAAAAGGATGGAAGGAGTGTTGTACTGTCCATGCGTTTCAACATTCGTATGGAAGCATGGGAGCTCTCGTCCGGTACGACAGGTATTAACTGCAAGGAACCATCCATCGCGAATTTGGAAGGAAATCTAATTTTGATTACTTCTTGCGCTGCCGGCTATTACGAAGTATTCAGGTCCATTGACTCTGGGATAAGTTGGGACATGAGTGGTAGGCCAATTACTCGCGTGTGGGGCAACTCGTATGGTCGAAAAGGGTATGGCGTTCGCTGTGGCCTCACCACGGTAACCATTGAGGGAAGGGAAGTGCTGCTTGTTACCACGCCAGTGTATTTGGAGGAGAAAAAAGGTAGGGGTCGGCTTCATCTTTGGGTGACGGACGGTGCACGTGTGCATGATGCTGGGCCGATATCCGATGCAGCTGATGACGCTGCTGCCGGTTCCCTGTTGTATAGCAGTGGGGGCGGTCTGATTTCGCTTTACGAGAATAAGAGTGAGGGGTCATACGGTCTTGTTGCTGTGCACGTGACTACGCAGCTGGAGCGGATAGAGACTGTGGTGAAGAGGTGGCAGGAGTTGGATGAAGCCTTAAGAACGTGCAGACCCACTGCCACTATCGACCCGGTGAGAAGGGGCATGTGTATTCGTTCCATTCTTACTGACGGGCTTGTTGGCTATTTGTCTGGTCTGTTAGCTGGGAGTGAGTGGATGGACGAGTACCTCTGCGTGAACGCGACTGTTCATGGGACGGTGAGAGGGTTCTCCAATGGAGTGACGTTTGAAGGACCCGGAGCAGGGGCGGGGTGGCCTGTTGCCCGAAGTGGACAGAATCAACCGTACCATTTCTTACACAAAAGGTTCACTCTAGTGGTGATGGCGGTCATCCACGATGAGCCGAAGAAACGCACCCCCATTCCTTTGATTCGTGTGGTGATGGATGACAATGACAGGACTGTGCTATTTGGTGTGTTTTACACCCATGATGGGAGGTGGATGACTGTAATCCATGGTGGCGGCAGACAAATACTTTCATCAGGGTGGGACCCAGAAAAACCGTGTCAGGTGGTGCTGCGACACGACACGGGCCATTGGGATTTGTACATTAACGCGAGGGCGGCTTACCTTGGCACCTACAAGGGGTCTCTTCTCCAAACAAACAGTATTTCACACATCCAATTCCACGGGGAGAGTGGGGAAGTTGCAGAATCCAGCCATTTGTCACTCTTCAACGCCCGTTTGTATAACCGAAGACTCAATTCCAAGCATATGAGATGGCTCATGGTCGGCGAGGCAGGCCCAAAATACGATGATGGCAGCTCTTATTCTGCGAGTGCGTCTGAGGAAGGAAGCAGAGGCGACAGCTCCATGCCTGCGAGTGCGTCTGAGGAAGGAAGCGGAGGCGACAGCTCCATGCCTGCGAGTGCGTCTGAGGAAGGAAGCAGAGGCGACAGCTCCATGCCTGCGAGTGCGTCTGAGGAAGGAAGCAGAGGCGACAGCTCCATGCCTGCGAGTGCGTCTGAGGAAGGAAGCAGAGGCGACAGCTCCATGCCTGCGAGTGCGTCTGAGGAAGGAAGCGGAGGCGACAGCTCCATGCCTGCGAGTGCGTCTGAGGAAGGAAGCAGAGGCGACAGCTCCATGCCTGCGAGTGCGTCTGAGGAAGGAAGCAGAGGCGACAGCTCCATGCCTGCGAGTGCGTCTGAGGAAGGAAGCGGAGGCGACAGTTCCATGCCTGCGAGTGCGTCTGAGGAGGGAAGCGGAGGCGACAGTTCCAATTCTGAAAGTTCATCGCAGAAGGAAAGTGAGGAGGTGAGCTTTGTGCATGAGAATGTGTCTTGGGTGCTGTTACTTCTGCTGGGGCTTTGGGTTTTTGCGGCTCTTTACTGATATTAAACCAGCGTTGTTGCTGTCTCCGGCGGGAAGAAATATTTTTTTTGCGCTTTGCTTTGAAATATTTGAAGACTTTTGTGAACGATTTTGATTTTGATTTTTGTTGTATTTTTATTTTTATTTTTATTGGAAGACGCCATATAAAAAGTAATGTCTGGCTCTCCGTCCGCGATTGCTGACGTGGAGGCGTGTTTTTTTCTTTCTTTTTTTCCGTTAACGTTGCAGTCTTGCGAAAAAGACTGGAGTTGCGGATTGTTTTCTTCCTAACGATTACTGGGCGCTGGTGGCACTTTGCGCAGCGCCGGTGTGTGTCGGTGAAAATGAAGGGTGAGTGCTGGTGGGTGTGTGGGAGCAGCGAGTAAAGTGTTCCGGTGGAATATAACCGATGAACGTTCGGGGGGTTAATAGGCCGAAGTAAATACATGGATGCCTACACACAGGGACATATGTGCGTGCATGTATCTATGTGTGTGTGTCTTCTTCTTGGCGCCAAAGAGACACACGAATTTTAGAGGTCCCACGAGGATCCTCTGCGAAAAGTTGTATTTATTGACTTGTTTTGATTTTTATTTACCTCTGAGTATAAATGAGGATGGCGTTGAATTAAAATTCTTCCATTTTTTTTTTTTTACTTCTCCAAAAACGATTGTTTAGTGATTTTTTCTTTTCTCCTTTGGCTGCTATGCCGTCTCGAATGTCATCCGCTTTCTTCTTTCTTTTTGGAGCTCTGCCGTTTATTTCTTTCTTCTTTTTTTTTTTTTCACACGAGAGGGCCCGAGGAGCGGGAGATGCGACGCTTCGCCGCACCCGACATTTCAGCGGCTGCTCTTGTGCATGACGCTATTTTTTTTTCTTTTGTCTCCCTCTCTCTCTCTCTGTGTGTGTGTGTGTGCATTCTCTACCCGTGTGCGAGCTTTTTTTCTTTTGCACCTTTGATTCTACGTGCTGGTCCTATTTGGAAGCATCTGCTGGTGTCTGCGTGCGCACAGCGCTCCCCTGTGTTTGGCCGCCCTGCCTCTGCATCCCGTTCCCGCTGCGTATGTTGCGTCGTTCATCTCGGGCCGGGGGCAGTTGCGACGGTGAAAACTTTGATATTTCATTGATTCTCGGCAGCGACGGATTGTCGAGCCGCCGCGTCGGCCCGGGGCGGATGCGTGGCGGGTGTGTGTTTCACTTTTTTTGCCACAGCGTCCTCTGCGGGTGCCGGGGGTCTCTGATTTTAAAGGACTCCACTCGGCGGTGGGGGCGGATGTGCGGGCCATTGGATTTATTTGGTGGAAAGCGAAGGAAAGAAGGTTGAAACGGATGTGACATGTGAGTAGCCGCGTCCCGCACACTTTCCCCAGCACTGTTACTTTTTTTTTGTTATTTTGAGGAGTTTTTGAGGGGGGAGGGAGCGATTGCGATGCGCGTGTTGTATTTTAGAGCAAAGGTCAGCGGGATGGATGTGTGGCCAGACGGGGCCGAGTGGCAGACGACGCGTTTTTTCGGCCCACTCCGTTTCTTAATGGATTTGTTTTTGCCTTCAAAAGAAAAGAAAAACGTGTTGGGAGGCGGCTGGTGCAGGTGCATTTTTAGATTTGTTTTGCCGTCGCCCCGCTCCGACCCTGCCGCCCGCCACGCGGAGAGGGCTCCGGCGGTTGCGGGGCCGCAAAGGCTGCCACCCCGCGACCTCGCAGCGAACCAACTGGTGCCTCATAAAATGCTTGTCTCTTTTCTCTTTTCTTGAAGCTTGCACTCGTGTGTTTAGCGTGTGTGTGTGTGTGCAATGCGTGCTTGATGCGTCTCCTCCGAGGTGTGGGGGCTGCTGGGTGTGTGCCGAGCCAGACCGCCACCTCTCTTTTGCGTAGTATCTCCTTGTGGGGCTGGGGAACGAGGCCGCAGCCGGGGGCGCGCAGCTGGGGAGTTGCCGCGTCGTTCTTCCACGGACCGGGAGGGTGCAGAGAGCTGCGGCTACGCGACGTTTCACCGCAACACCACGACGCAGCCCGCGCCAATACGCCTTGCGGATTTTCTGGGGTGGCATGCACTGTTCCGTTTGACGTCTTTGTTTCCCCATCCCCGAGCTTCGGTGCAGACTCCCTCGTCGATGCAAGTTCCTGTCGATTGCGGGCACACCCATTGATTGATGCGACCGACACCCAGCGCACTGCTGGTGCTTCTGGCATGACCGCTGCACCGCCCCAGCAGCTGGTGCAGTAGGACTGGGGACGAGAACACAGCAGACCAAGTTCAATCAGATGGTGCTGGCAGCCCTGTCAGCGCCCCACCTACTCCAGCGACCTACCCACACCACCAGCGAGCACAGAAATCGACGGGACATGGAAGGCATCGACGGAGTGTAAGGACACCAGTTCTCTTTTTAACATCACTCTCAGTCAAACAGCCGGAAGAATTAACGACAACATCATTCACCAACAATGAAAAAGGAACAACGACCACCACCGACAGCGACGGCAGCACCGCGGTCTTCCACACCACCTCCCATTTTTTGCATCTTAGTTTCACGTATGCGTGCTGCTGCTGCGGTGGTTCCCGGGCCTGCATGAATTTGAGTGTGCGCAGAATATGGACGAAGGCCGAAGGCAACTGAACTGTTTTTGTGATGAATATAGGCTGCGCTTCCCGTGGACCAACAATCCACGTGGCGTGCGGGGATCTTCCTTTTTTGTTGTTACTTTGCTTTTGTGTTGCTGTGTGCGCTGCACCTTCTCCTGTGTGTGTGTGTGCGTACCCTCCGTGAGGGGTGCCGACAAGACGGACCGCTCTCGCCGTATGTACATGCGTGGAGCCTTGTGTTCCGCTCCTGTTTGCTTCTCCCTCCTCCATCTGTGTGTTGGTGTTGCGGCAGGGCTGTGTGTGTGTGTGTGTGCCTGTTGCCGTGGATTGGAGTGTGTGTCGTGCGTGGTGTGCGGCGTACGGTGCATGCCTGGCTGCTGCCCTCTCTCCTCATGTGTGCCCTCTGTGTGTGTCTGCCGCACCTCTCGTCTCCCCTGTTGCTCTCCATGTCCCTCACTGTGCAGATCAGCTCCACACCACTGAACGACCACACTCACGATGATGACGTGCCGTCTGCTGTGCGCCCTGTTGGTGCTTGCCCTGTGCTGCTGCCCGTCCGTGTGCGTGACAGCTCAAGACCCCGATTCACCGTCATCTTCTCCGGAGGGAACGGGTGTGGCCAGGGCGGAAGGGGGAGTAGGCACGGGCACTGGCGCGGAACCGGAATTTGTGAGGAAAAATGAGGATGGGCCACGAAATAAGGAAACTACCACGCCAAATACAGAAGCTATCTCCGTTGAGGTTCAGACACTAAACACGGAAGCTGGCGTGGCGGGGCAATCAGGTTCGGTGAACACTAAGGGACAGGATGTGGAAGAAATCCCCGGTCCGTTACAGAAACCAGATGCTGCCAGTGCGAGAGAGGCTGTAAAAAAAGCCAATACGGAAATAAAACCAAGTAATACGACGACGACGACCACCACTACAACACAGGCACCAAGTACCACGATCACAGAGGCGCCAAATACGACGACGACGACGACGACAACTGCGCCAGAGGCACCAAGTAGCACGGCCATGAATGTGGAGGCGCCTACTACGACGAAGACCACCCGCGCGCCGTCACTTCTTCGCGAAATCGACGGCAGCCGCAGCGGCTCTGCGTGGGTGTGTGCCCCGCTGCTGCTCGCCGTATCCGCGCTGGCGTACACCACTCTGGGCTAAAGAGGTGTGCGCGGGCTGTGCGTGCCAGCACTCAGCCGCGGGGATTTGTGCGCGTGTGTTGTTTTCCGATGTAACTAAATAAGAGAAACTAATGATTGTTGTTTGCCTTGTTTGCTTCTGCTGCCGTGCTGTGTGCTCCGCGTTGTTCCCCACATTCGCCAGTTAGCACGTATCCAGACGCCCTTGTATGCACGACACCCACATGACTGTTTGCGTGGACTTACATTTGTAGATGGGTGCTTGCACACTGGAGGCATTCGGTGCAGCTTTTTTTGTGTTTACTTTTTTGACATTATTGCTGTTTGTTTGCTTTTGTTTTGTTTTGCTTGTTTTGTGTGTTTTTCTTGTTAAATTGTTGCATGGCGTTGTGCGTTTGTGCACTTTTATTGGCTTAATATTTTTCATGAAACGCGTGCTGCTGCGGCTGCGGGATTGATGCCATTTATGGCTGTGCGTTGGCTGTGTGTGCTGCAGCGGCCGTCTCTTTTTCTCCTTTTGCTTCCGCTCTGCGTTGACGTGTTGTTATTTTGTGCTGAAGGCTGCAGGCAAGTGACAGGAGTGATGGCGATGATGATGACTGGCCGTGTGCTGCTGGTGAGTGCCCTCTGCGTGCTGTGGTGCGGTGCCGGCGGTGGTTACGCTGAGGATGTCGGTGTTGTTTCTGGTGATCCCGGAACTCGTGGCGAACGTGGAGGTGGTGATAAGTCTTCTCTCGCAGATGGGAGTCATGGAGGCAGTGGAGGTTCAAATGGTGATAGTTCTCATGAAGGTGAAAGTGAGCCTTCGGATTCTGCTTCCAATGAAAAATCTTTAAACCCCCAGGTTGATGAGGATGAGGATCCAAATTCCTCTGAGCAACCTTTACGCCAGGGAAAAGGGGGCTCCAAAGGAAAACAGGATCACTCACAATCAGTGCCTCAAAATGGATCGCCACATAAAGTGAATGGAGCAGAAACACTTGGTTCTGCTGCGCAAGTACAGTTGTCCGCTACACCAAACGCAGAACTTAATACTAATGTTGCTGACGGTGAAATCGCGAACGGGGGAAGAGGGAATACTGGCCACAATACCGGGTTATCCCCTAACAGCAGCGACTCCTCAGCACCCCCAGTACCACCAGCAATGACTGTTCCAACAGGAGATACAAACCGAACAGCATCAAAAGACTTACAAAATATAAACGAAACAACAAGCATGACGCCACCGTCACACTCCAAAACGGCGGCCGAAGCACTGCAAACCCCCTCAGGAAATGGTGCGCCAAAGCAACACAGAAAAGAAACAGACACACCAGATTTGAAGGATGCACCTGCGAGCCATACAGCGGAATCAACAGCAAAATCCATATATACAATGGGCAGTGATGGAGCCCAGAAAAATGAGGAGAAGTTCGACAACGGTGATCAACGGTCTAACGGAAAAGAACCACAAGACGGGCTTGAAGATAGAAATACCGACGATGCTCCCACAGCCAGTGAGACGGAAACAGAAACAGCCACCACCCAAAAGAATGCTACACCTAAGTTTGGCGACAGTGACGGAAGCACCGCGGTCTCCCACACCACCTCCCCTCTTTTGCTTCTTCTTGTTGTTGCGTGCGCTGCTGCTGCGGTGGTGGCCGCGTGAGAGTGAGTGTGAGAGAGCCATGCACCGCCCGCACACACACTCTTCCTTCTCTCTCTGTGTGTGTGTGTCCCCTTGCATGGACTCTCGCCCTCACCTCACCCCACGAGGCACACACAATAATGTGCCCATTGTATATATGCATGCACACCCATGCAGGCCCGTTGGTGCTCTCTTTTGCACGACACGCACCGCTGCCGTCCTGCCTGGCTGCATGGACGGAGCACCGTAACTGTTTCTGTTTTGTTTTTATTGCATTGAGTGGGCGACCTCTCTCTCTCTCCCTCTGCGTGTGTGTTTTGCTTTACGGGAGCAATGAGAGTGTGTGTGCGCTGGTCGTCCCACGCCTCGGCTTCCAGTCACGTGTGAGTTTTGAATCTCTGCTTGCGTTGTGGTTGAATGGACGTATTTTCATTAACCATCATTTGTTTCCTTGTGTGGTGACGTTTGCGTTTTATTTTTCTTTTCAATCAATCAGTCTTTGTTGCCTCATCAAGCCAAGAAATACTTTTCCAACAGTCACGCCGATGGTTCAGTGGCTCCTCGCCTCACCGTGCCCTGCAGCGCTGCCATTGCTGCTCATGATGTTGACTTTGATGTGTTGTTCCAGCGGGTGCTTTGCTGCCAGTCTGGCGTACCATTGCTCCTTTGACGATGCGATGCGTGTCGGCAGGACGAAATCGATGCCGATGGTGATGAAAAACGTGCCTTAAGGAACGGGAAGTGCGTCGCAGACATACACCGTCATCGGGGGGAATGGATGGGCACCCATCCGCATCAACGTGTCGACAAGGGACCTGGATGATGCCAGTAAGTATTGCAGCTCAGATTATTCTTACGTGAAAAATCCATTGACAGGCTATTACGATTGTCGGGGCGATGCTCTTTCCAGTAATAAGAGGAAAATCCTCATTGACAAGGTTGTCCCTGCAGCTGTCAAACTGCATGCGGATCGTCTGCTCGTCCAGCCACTGGAGCGTCCGTTGGTTGTGCCCCAATTTGCCACTGGCAGTGTTTGCAGTCGTTTCACTGTGCCTGCTGAGCATCGTTCCAAGGGCGTTGCCAATTCTGACATGGTGCTGTACGTGGCTGCAGCGCCGGGTGGTGTGTGGGCACTGCCGTGCGCCACGCTGGAGGATGGCCGTCCAGTCGTTGGCGTCATGAACATTGCCCCGTCCGTTTTATTTTGCGGACGCCTCGACACCCGCCTCGCCGCGCACCTGATGGCCCATGCTCTCGGGTTCGCCCACTCGCACATGGCCAGCCGCAGCATGGTGAGGAATGTTACCGGTGTGCGTGGCAGGGCGCTGTCGGTGGTGGTGGACTCGACGAGTGCCGCGATGGCTGCGAGGGAGCACTACGACTGCGATGACATTTATGGCATGGAGCTACAAGATCAAAAAGGGGACGGGAGTACGCTGGAGTCGCACTGGTCACAGCGCCACGCGAAGGATGAGTTGATGGCACCGATTGGGGGCGCCGGCTACTACACGGAGCTGACGCTGGCTGCATTTGCTGACCTGGGCTACTTCAAGGTGAACTGGAAGTTGGCGGAGCCGATGCGTTGGGGCAAGAAGTCGGGCTGTGAGCTGCTGCAGAAGAGGTGCTCCGAACTGAACCTGAGTAAATATTCCCACATGTTCTGCAACAGAGACGATGGTGTCGAACGCTGCGCTTCGGATCGTTATTCCCGCGGTTTGTGTCGGCGGAGTATCATTGAATTCTCAAAACAGCACTCAATGGACCGTTGCCCCATCACTGATCCCGCGATGGACGTGAGGGACCTTGAGGCTGTTTTTGAGAAGGGAGAATATTTCTCTGCGAGGCCCGGGGATAAGCCCTCTTCGTGGTGTCTGGACACGCTTCCCACCAACACGACAGATGCGAGGTGCCCGGAGGGGACTGAGTGCTGCCATGCATGCGGCATGGAGGTGCCTCGGCATGCAAATTTATCTGACAGATCCCGAAAAGCGTAGCTTTGGTTGGTTCCCATGCGCGGAAGGGGAGAAAATTACGTGGGACACACCACCCTACAATAAGGAAAACGTCATTTGCCCTGAGTACGCGGAGGTGTGCACGATATCCGCCACCGGCGGCAGTGTCATTCCCGTGGTTTCATGGGACGACGAGGAGAGGGTGTGGAGCAGGACGGTACGCCCGGAATTTTTGAGACAAAGTTCACCAGAGGCGCCCGTCCCTGTTGCAGAGATTATTGGGTCCGGCCGTGGCACCGAATCGCAGGATGCTGACTCAGCTGCTCTTCAGTCGAAGCCATTGCCACAGGGAGACGCCGAGGCTGCCGTGGCGCAACACGACCATCAAGCGGGAAGCACTACCAGCACTCCAACAGGCCGTGAGAGGGAAGCAGCACCAGCCGCCTCTGGCGAAAACAGCAATTCGCCTACGGCCGCTGTTGCAGGAGCAGGTGATTTTGAGACAACGCACAGCGAGGATTTCTTCACTACGGAAGTGGAAAGCCCGATGGGGGAGGAAGAACAATCCGCGCCGGAGGAGGGAGCAAACCCAACAACCCTGCAGTCAAGGGAGACCACTGGAGATGGGGATGCGCAGCCAGTACAAGAGAGCGTGGCGCCTCTGGCTGGAAGTGAGGGATTGCTGCCCAAACAAAGCGAGGCCCCTGTTCCAGAAAATAACCACTCCGAATCTGGGAGCGGCGCGAGCCAAGAGGACCGCCTCGCCCTGCTCAACGACGCGAAATTGATGCTGCATGATTGGAATGTCGACAGCACTGCGCGTGTGTGCGTGTCTCGGGTGTCGATGCTTCTTCTTCTGGGACTGTGTGGAGCTGTGGCAGTATTGTGAGGCAACGAGTGTGGCATTGCGACTCCCGACTGAGAATACGTGCCGCTTTTCTTGCGGTTTTTGATGTTTTCCTTTAATGTTTTTTTTAATGCTTTTTTTTCTTTTTCAAAAATATTTCCCCACTTTTTCAGTTGTTTTTGGTGTTTTTTCGAATACTCAGTTTCTTTTTTTTCAATGGCCGTTTGCTACAATCCGCTATGAGCGACGTGTTTCCGACTTTTGTTTCTCTTTTGTTGCCCACACGCGGTGCCGGCGTCACTGCTGCGCGTCCGGCGGAGTGCACAAAACGAGGAGTGGCGGAGCAGGCCGGATGCCGCATGGAATATGAGGGATGTTGTGTGGGCTGGTGGAGGAGTGCAACCTTTTTTTTTCATTACCTTTTTTGTTAGTGCAGGGAATATGCATACGTCCCCGATTGTCTTGTGCTGCATGGCACATGAAAGTCCTGCCGAATAAATTTTTCTTTTGGTTCTGTTTCCCAGGAGTCATGACGGACTCTCACCCTTTTTTTCTTTTTGATTTCTTAAATCCCTGCGGCTTCTTTTCGTTTTTGCCGTGTCTACTGTCACTGAGTGCTTCCGTTTCATGTTTTTTACTGCTGTCTGTGCTGCGGACATGTCCCCATTTCTTCTCTTTCTTTTCTGCTAGAGGCACCGATGGTCCGCGACGACGATTGCTTGTGCACCCCTCTGCGATGGCACGGGGTGGCTGGGCGTCGGCCTGCTGAGTGCACTTTGGGGGAGCGGATGGTGTGCGCCGTGCCTCACTTGTGAGTGTGGAACACTAATTCGTCGGGGAAGGGGGAAGTAAAGGGCTGCGGTATGTACTTGGATTCGCTTATTCCCTCTTGTCGCGGTTGTGTGTGTGCTGCGCGCATTGCTTTTAGTTGCGGTGCGACGTGGGTGGCGTGGCTTTCGCGTGTGTCTTATTGCATGCGCTGAGCGGCGGACTTCTCTTCCCCATGACACCGCCCTTTTGTGTGCGAGTGGGGGGAAGAAGAGATGTGTGAGGGAGCGAGCGTGGGTGGCTGCCGACCCGCCTGCAAATCCGGGCCATCCACACACGTGCTTTTTCTTGACGGCCTTTTGCGGCTCTCAGGCCGTGGAGGGGGAGGATATGAAGGGTTTGCCTTGGTCAGGAGGAGGAAGAGTGGAGCAGTACCCTTCCGTGGTCTTTTTTTTTGGCGGCCGATGCGGACTACATACGTTTGGGCAGTTGTAGAATGAAAATTTGATGCTGTTCCGTGTATACTGCACAGTTGCCGTTACTTCACAACCAATCCGCGGTGCGATTTTGAGCTGTGCTGGCCGATGAGGGGAGGGCGATGGTGTCACTGAAGTGATTGCGTCAGCGCGGCTTTGCTTCGGCGGCTGTGCTGTGATGGGGACTGTCTGTGACCGGATGCTTCTGCGTGCCAATGTGTTTGGTTACTGTTGTTGCTGCCTCTTCCTTTTCTGACTGTGCAGTTAGAGATACTTTGGTTTGAATAGCACAACTATCGTTTCAAGGTGTTAGGGATTAATTGCTGTATTAGGACTAGTAGTATTGGGATATCGATCTATCGGAAGTGTGTCACTGGATTTTCCATCTGTATAAGGGATTTGCTAGACAAAAGTTACGGTCGACGGTGCGAGTGCGACACACCACGACAACCCTGTTGGTATCTGATTGGTTCATTGGATGTGGTCTGTGGTGGGTGCGTGTCCGCGCAGCCGTCACCGTGTGCGGCACAGTGCCATTGCGGCTATGCGTGTGGCGCTGCTCTTTTTGTTGGCGCTGGCTGCTGCTGCGGCGTGGATGCCCGCGGTGCATGCGGTGGTGTTGCGGCTGCGGGGCGGCACGGTGGACAGAGCCATCACGGTTGGCCGCGCCGTGGACACGGTGCTGATGGACGGCGTGTACATCACGAACGGCGTGGCTGTTGTGTTCGACGTTGCGGCGATGCTTCCCGGCGCGCTGCGCATCGAACTGAGGAACTGCGTGTGCGACGGCGGTGCGCAGATCTACGTGCGGGGCTACAGCGGCGAGCCGGCGAGTGACCGGAGCCTGGAGGTGAGCGTGAGCGGGCTGTCCGGGAGCTACTGCTCGCTCGCGTTTGTGCACAACCTGCCGGCACACACGAACGTGACGGTCCGCGACTCGACGATTGTGACGGCGGGGCCGATGCGCTACTCGCAGTT